ATTGGTTTTTTAAAATTTCTATTCGTATTTTCAAAATATCTGTTGGTAATATCAAATTTCTATTGGCAGTAACAAGTTTCTATTGGTATTCTCTACTATATTTATTGGTAATTTTAAATATCTATTGAAAGTAACAAATTTCTATTGGTAGTATCCAAAATTTCTATTGGTAGCAGCTGGTTTTCTAACACTACTGACTAGCAGCTATTAATCAACTATATTTAGTTGAATTTAACACTTTTGTAACTGCGAATATCAGTTACCACTTTTCCGTCTAGCTAACACTTTTCACTATATGTAACGGCGAAATTTCCGTTACCACCTTTTTCAGCTAGCCAACATTTTTTCACTATATGTAACTGCGAATATCAGTTACCACTATTTTTGGCTAGCTGACACTATTTTACTATATGCAACTGAGAATTTTCAGTTGCCACTTTTTCCGACTATGTGTAACTGCGATTTTTCAATTACGACCTTTTTCGGCTAGCTAAACTTTTTCTATTTCACTTTAACTTTTCACTGTGTTCTGCTACTAGTCACTTCAGCTACTACCGGATACTACTGCTTGTTACTGGTAGTTCTTCCTACTACAATGTTACTGTGATTTGCCCCCATAAGGTAGACTTCGGCTATACTCTATAGAGAGCCGCTTGCCAATTTCCGGTTTTGCCTTTTTATTATCAAACATTTTCATTACGTAATTTGCACAAATCGCAATTTTTCTATATAATGCTAATTTTTACATTAACACGCTATACACTATAAAATAGGCATTTTGGTCCTTTATCATTATGTGATAAGGGTTACTTGATATATTTACATTCAAAAAAGTTATTAATCAAAATGTACCAAATTTACATAACAAAAGTGCACATTAAATCTTCAATTTTACTATATTTCTCAAATGCGTTTATTTACATAAATTATCTATTTACTTATTTCAATCTATATACCATATGCTAACTAAATATCGTATTTACAATTCTTTCAGAACATAAAAATATTCTCATTATTTTCATATAAACTATTGCGCAGTTAATTAACTTCTAGAAAGTTCCACGATATGCTGCGCTGTGATTGGTCGAAATTTTATTTAATGTTTAAAGTCGTTTATATCAACTTATTATTAAAACGATACTTTATACAAATATATTACGAGTTGTAAACATACTGTAAAACTATATTAAACACAATTTATTCAATTTTGTTGCCAATTTCACTTTTTAAAACAATTTAATATTCTTTAATCACCTTTTGCTTAAAGTCTTTAAACCGTCGCGAACAAAATAAATAAAGGGAGAAGCATTTTGGGCGAATTTTCTCCCTTCATTATGAATGAAGGTGTTATTCAAAGAAATTTTATAACTATACGGACATGAGTATAGACAAATTTGATTGTAATTTAGAGAAAAGAACAATGGCAGACTTTCATACATAAAATTAGTTGAGAGGGAATGGTAGCGTCTATATATCAAAAATATCTTAAAATGTTAAGCATCAACCCTTATTAATTCTGTCAAAGAATTTTGGCGTCAAAAAAAGATATTTAGATTTGAACCTTTTTAGGTTATGTTTTATGTCACTTGCAAAAAGTCATGTTTCCTGTGGTTGTTTGATGTTAACTTAATACATAATACATAATTGAGGGTTGTTAGATTATTGTATCTCTATTATATATTTGCATACTATAAATGTATATTTCTGGCATGACTCCAGGGCCTTTGTGTCATAGTGACATTTTATTTTAGCTAGTGTTGCCATAACATTAAATGGAAATGTTGTAGTACTATGATTGAGATAATGTATTATTGTAGGAACTTCTTTGTAAGAGACTTATCAACCATATCACTTTTATTTTTATTATTACTGATAGTATAGTTATTACTAATAATAACTTATTATAAAAATATTTTGTGTGTTGTGTTGGTAGTCTTACAAAGTGTATACGAAAATAGTATGAATATACTAAATGGCAACACTTGAATAGAGTAAAATGATTTAGCGTACTTGTATATAATTATATAGGTCAGTGTATTTGAGTCATTCGAAAATTTTTGTTTTTTTCTGTGGCTTTAATTAAAATACATTTTTATTTGAAAAATCATAGAAAAATCATTAATAAAACTCATTTTATATATAACTTATTTCTAGACGCGATAATTTTTGTCAACTATTTTTCTGCCATTGTTATTTGATGCAATTTGGAATCTGTTATCGTTGAAAATCGTTATCAGCTTCCATTATTAAAATTATAAATAAAATACAACCCTATATACTCGAGCAAGTGGTGAAATCAAAATAGTTTGTTCCTGTCGCCATCGCTCCGTTACCGCCCGTGCATCGCTCGATCCTCCGCGCCGCTCTCGCTCGTTTCGTATATTAAATTATGTTTTTGTTTACGTCGCTGCCGCATCGCGCCGCCCCGTAACCGCCATCGCTCGCCCGTCGCTATTTTCGTGCTCGCAGCCAGAGACGTATATAGCTTGTCCTCATCATCATCACCATTGATGGCAGGTGAAGTGTCGGGCGGCCCCCCACTAGATGGAGTGATGACCCGGTAAGACATACAATGAGTCGATGGATGCAGGTGGCTCTTTGTGGCTGTAATGATATAGGCTGTAACTTGCTCGAATGTGTACCTAATGACAAACATTTGTCTAAATCGTTATATTAAAAACATCCCTTCCTTTGTGGTGCAATTTTTTCACCAAAATGTATATGGGACCACTCCTGAAGCCTATAAATATAACCTAACTATTCACTAGTTAATTACTATAAATATTTTTATAAAAACAATTTTTTGTTAATTTACTAAGAATCACATGACATACATTAAAAAAGATCATACTGCGAATTGAGAACCTTCTGCCTTATTTGAATTCTGCTAAAAACGTAAAACAATTCTTCTTTTGAGTTCTGATGGCTACTGCAAAGAAAAAAATATTCACGAATCGCGATCAAGTAGTGAAAATCTAAAAGCTTTTACATAGGTTTGGAAAATATTTACGAAGATTTTTGTTCGAGTTTTGCAATGTTCGTGAACAACTCTCCTAGCAAAATGAATATCCAGGTGAAGGAACTAATTTTTCTTTAGAAACATTTAGGCCGTTTCCTCCTTTTTTTAGTAACACATATTATTACTAAAAATATGAATACGGCAGAACTGTAACTACTTATGAATACAAAATAATAATGGTACAGACTAACTCGCAACATAAACACTAAACAGGGATGGTTGTTAAAATGAGCAAGTGATTTGTAAGCTTATTTGATAAATGCGGGAGGATAAGAATATGCGGTGATTATAAATTAATACTTGGTAGAGTCATGCTGCAGCTATATTAGTAGTATAGTTGTAGCACGAATGGGTTGGCTCGGCCGGGGAAGGACCACGCTCTCACAGAATACCAGCGTAAAATAGCAGCTTAACACTGCTGTGTTTCGTATGATGAGTGTAGAGAACCGGAGACCCATTTTACTGGAAAAGAGGCATTCCATTTTAGTCCTCACGGGTGACGACGCGTCTGCATTTTGATTCTTTATTGAGGATAAATGTAGATGTCTAAGGGTCACAGGAACCACTTACCATCAGGTGGACTGTGTGCTCGTTTGTCACCCTATCCTATAAAACAAAAAACCTTAAAATATCTGTGACCAATGTCTAAGAATGCTTGTGGAAAATACTTCATGAAATGCGAACAAAAACATGCAAAACACTTAGCGAATAGCGAAAGCATAAGTCAACCAGGAAAGCGAAATGCATCCATTGCCACACGTGCACAAAGTAATTCCAAAGACATTAACATATTATTAACATTTATTTACAATTGGCCCAAACAGGTAATATTTAGTGAAAAGAAATCTCACAAGCAAAATTTACTTTGCTAAGGATAACTAGAGTGTTTAAAAATATATATATTTATAGACTATGATGTAAACTTTTACGTGGGCATATCCGCGGTAGTGATTCTAAGAGATAGTAAATGCTTACTAACTCTGAGTTGGTGTCGGCTGTAGAGATTATTTTTGAAATATTATTGTAAGATCCCAAGTTCTATATGTTCTAATTTCCTAATAAAAACATTTTCTTTCTTCAGACAATTTCTTCAACAGATCTTTTTAATGTATTATAAAATATGTAGCATAACAGTAACTAAGTCAGTATCTGTATATTTTTTTGAACTGAGTAAATATTTCGTATTCTTATTCTATGTAACCAATCAGTCAGGTAAGTGCTAATAAACACCCCTGAGGCCTAAGATGGAATGCATGTAGTACTGATAAAAGGGTATGATCACCGGTACATATTATATCATAGGAATTACTATGATTTTTTTTATAATGTTATTCAGTAAGTGTGTGGTATTTCCCAAGTCCTACCGTCTCATCTATGATGCAGCCATTATAAGAAATAAAGTCCCCCAGACCAAATTTCGGTTACGGTGGCCCGTCACAACAGAGACTAATCATAACATGAGAAATGGAGAGTGCACTTGCATGTCTCTCTATTTCCTCACTCTCATAGTCCGATAGGACGGTTATTGGAAACTCCATCACGTATTAGTATGTTAGTGTGTACTACCACACTTTAGCAGTGCACACTTCTTCCACTATTTTACGAGTAATTAAGTCCGTCATTTGTACGAATTGTGTTTTAGTACGAAAAAGTGTTAATTAAATAAAAAAAAAATAAAGATTAGAAGCAAGCTCTATCTGAGCAAAGTTGATCTAATAATTGATTATTGTTCTCCATATTTGGATTTATGTAGTAGTTGTCGCATATCAACTTAACTTTTTCTTGTAAACAAGTATTTTCATTAGATATTCAGATTGTTACATGTGACCTTAAGGGAACTTATGCTGAGAACTTACTGTATTAGTATGCAACCTTCAAAGCTGGTATATATGCTACTGTCGGCAATAGGGCGGCATAGTTTGCACTCAGAAGGCCTACGTGCAGTTCTAGTGAGATCTACACATCCATCTCTCTCATCGAAATGAAATTCATCGTACGTATTTAGTTTCTTCCATTTAATAGTGTATTGAAAGAGAAGTATATAATAATCTTGAAAGATAAATATAAGAATTTAACTTTTCTAGAAGCCTTATAAGAAAGTTTTAAAAATTTATATGTTCTATAGAAGGACGAATTTGCTGTATTCACCATCTTAGGCAGGCCCATCATCTGATTGTTATATCACTGATCTCGCACCGTTGACACTGTTCCCTCATTGCTTATCGAAATATTCCAATAGATCACTCAGCAGTCGAGTTGTTTATTTTTAAAATAATATCCTGGTTTTTAAAATGAACAACTCGGGAAAATCTATAATCGTTCTTAATAGTAACTTTGGAAAAATTATTGTAATTTCTTATTTAGGTTCAGCATTTAGTATTACATCTATACAAAATATATGTTATATTAATATTTTTAATAGTATAAAGTAGCAAACAAGCAACAGTTCATCTGATGGAGCACACATTCCACTTAATGGAAAGAATTACTATAAATGATGATTGAATGATTGATTGATGAATGAATTAATATAATTCATCCATCATTCATTCACTTCATAGGCCACCCCCTTAGATTGCTTCATAAAATCAAGGAATTGGCATAGTTGCCATGCTTGGCAGGCGGTACAGTTTCTTTTCTATTTTCAATTGTTATCAGGAACATGTTGCACATATCCGATTTCCGTTTCCCTTTGTCGTTTTTTACGATATCTAAAAGATGATGATTAGCGACTATGTGGCGCATTGGCTTAGCAATGAGTCACAAGGTTAACGGCGGCGGGTTCGAATTCCGTACGGAAAAAGTATTAGTATGGCTTACAAATAATTGTTCCGGGTCTGGATGTTTATCCTTGTGAAATTTATGTTTGTAAACTGCCCTCACAATACAGGAGAAAATCCAATGTGGAGATAACGTTTTTTAAAAGATAAAAAAGGAGTGATATTAGGTAGGGGATTCTCTTATGCCGGTGAATCCATTATAAAGGACAATACTATATATTATTTTATTTTTATTTTAAAAAAAATTGATTTCAGGTACTCTTTGTGCTTTGCTTCGTGGCTCTGGCTACTGCAGCTCCCCAATTCTTCACCTGGCCTGGATTTGTGGCCCCGTATGCCCCTTATGCCTCTAGAGTAAGTAACCTGTTTTAATCACGTACTAATAATTTGTTAAGAAAACAAAGTCTGAATAGTTAAGTGTGTATTCTATAATTCAAAATTCGAAATGCGGTGTTAAAGCACAGAAATGATCCTAAATTTACTGAAACGAGTAAGACGCATTCAATTGTATATTCGATTATATATATAATTGAATATAACTAGATGTAAAGACTCCCTTTGTGCTTAGGCCTTATTTCATTGGGAGGGATTGTTAGAAGAGTAACAACAAGATATTTAACTTTCACTATATGCCGCTGTTGGTTTGGTAATACGTATATAATATAATTTCTCACGTCAAATAGCAGTGCTTGCACTGCTGTGCTTGAACTACGAGAGTATAAAGAGCAAGCATAATTAATTACAGGTCTTGAGGCATTCCATCCTAAGATCCCTGAAGGTGACCACGCATCTGTGGTCTTCTTTATTTGATGTTGGGTGCACATATTCATGAACTGCAGTAGCCCGTTACTATTTGGTGGACTGTAGGCTCGTGTGACACCTCAGTTTTATAAAAGAAAAAAAATGTCCCAATAATGGATAATGTATGAAGTTTTGTGCTTACTAACCTGTTAGCTCAGTATCATGTTTTTTCCGGTGAACCTTTCAAGAAATGCATGCTCATTTTTGCGCATGTATTTCATTCTCGTAAATGTAAACGGTTAATACATTTTTTAATATATAAAATAATAGGGCCCAAAAATAAAATAACGAGGTATACATATTACGATAATAATACAAAATATTACTTATAAACGAAATAGAGAGAGAGAGAGAGAGAGAGAGAGAAAGAGGGAGAAAAAAGTCGGATAAATCAAGTGAGGTTATTAATAGTAGTATTGTGGTAGACAAGAAAAATTTACGCAAATAAAAAAAATTGTAGTAAAAAAGTTAAGTAAAATTACAGCCTAATAATAATGTCCTCCAGACCGAATTTCTGTCACGGCGGCCAGCCTCAACGGTAACCAATCATTTGCGCAAGTGTATGCGCAAGTACAGGTGCACTCTTTATACCCTAGCTCTCATATTTCGATAGGATGGGAATCCGACACGACCGGAGAGAGATCAGATCGGGAACCACGTTTACGACGACTAGACCAACGAGGCATGTTATAAACACATTATATATAAGTGTAGTATCAAACGCTGAAAGTATTAGGCGAATCAGTATCACACAGCATGGTAATAAGTTTATTTTATGGAAAATAAGAAAGTTATATGCAAGTGTTTTACTACGATATCACTTGATGGTGTTTAAGTGGTAAATCCTCGCTGCAACAAATTATACATGAATGGATAATTTCAACCGTTGAAGGATCACATTAGCACAGAAAACGAACACGAAATAGCGGCATAATGCTGCTGGTATTTTATATTATGAGTGGCGAGTACTAGAGTCCTATTTTAATGGTAACAAGGCGTCCGATCTTAATCCTCGGGATTGACAGCGCATCTGTATTTTGGTTAGTGATACATGTAGGTGTCTATGGGCTGTTGCATTCACTTATCCTCAAATAGACAGTGTGCTTGTTTGTTACCCTTATTTCATAAAATAATTGAATATGGAGATCGCATTAGCTCAGTAAATGCTTCTTCATTTCAATTCATCTAAATTGCATACGGATGGATAGAAACTAAATTACAAGATAACGTATAGTAAGTTCTATATTTTTAAATTATCTATCCTTTCTTACAGACTGTCGTCGCCGGCCCAACTGTCGTAAATGGCTTTGGTTGGGGCGATCGTTTCATCGCTCCCGGAGTAGTTGGCGCTGCGGTCGTCTAATGATTATCCCTTACATTTACCCTCATCTGGACCTTAGATGATCATGTAAAATCTGGCACACTATTACTGTCTGCTCAAAATTAAAACAGTAAAAATATAAATAAATATACATGTTTTATTTTTCGCCCGGCTACCATCCTTACCAAATAATATCCTAAACTATATTGAAAAAAATATAAATATAAAATAAAAAAAATAAACAACGTTCTTTTTAATTAACAGAAAAATTGCTAAATAATTAAAACTAAAACTAAAAAAGATTAAGAGTACTCTTAACCGACGAGCGTGTATGCATAGGTATCATCCATATACAGGAGGCGAGAGAAGTGTGTCAGGAACGCGCCAAATGGAAGACCGTAGTCTCTGCCTACCCCTCTGGGTGACAGGCGTGAGTGTTTATGTATTTTGACAATTAAATTAACCTAGCAGAAGAACAGTAGTTCTCCCATTACATTAGTTAAATACATATTATTTATTATAATAACGAACATAAATTATTAAAATTCATCACTAGCGTAATTTTTAATATATTTAAAGTATAATTTTATGAAATCAAGAAATGACACTAGAATTTTCAAGTAATTTTTGGGGAAAGTGAAAGTTATGTTTTGTGGCAAAATTGTCGCATCGCAAAATTCTTCAACAGGTTTCAACAAGAGAAATATAATCTACATAAACTGTTCACTGATGTAATATCACATGAATAAACAAACCTTTATACATTATACTAACTTCATTTTTGTGGAAGGTGATCTTTTAGATTTTTTATCATTTTGGACTTAATGTGATTTGGTTGTCGAACGGTATTATGAGAGCCAGTTTATGTGTAGGAGAAATGTTTGAGTGCTTTTATTACACTTGGATATACACGTAAAGTTTGGAGCACAGCACAAATATTGGTTCTGCAAGGAATTCGCACTTAATTTTTACCTTTGTTGTATACTATATATTATTCAAACTGTGTGACCTAGTTTGAATAATATATAGTATACTACTAGCTGTTCCCCGCGACTTCGCTCGCGTGTTAGTGTTTTTATGTTTTTGCGCGGAACCCTAATTTCTTTTCTAAAATAAAAGTAGCCTAAGTTACTCCTTATGAAATCAGCCAGTGAAAGTCCCGTCAAAATCAGTCCAGCCGTTTCGGATATTAACCGGAACAAACAGACAGACAAACAGACAGACAAAAAATTTAAAAATTGTATTTTAGTTATAAGTACTGTATTTACTTTCATATGCATTTAGTAATAAACTGTAATTTTGACATTACAAACAAACACTTCAACTTTATTTATTTGTATACATATACACAAAAAGACAAAGGGAATGATGGAGAAAGTTTTGGTTCTTTAGAGAAATTGCTCATAGTTGCCTGATGGAAATGACAATATTTTTGACATTCGTTCCTTTCCTTGGTCGACTTTTACGATTAACATGTCAATATTCCCTTTAGCTAACATAAGCTAGCAATATCGATATTTGTTTTACAACACATATTAGGTTTAAATATTCTCTTAAAACTTGCCAAATTCTATGCGTCTAGTACTCAGCTCATGAACCCATTTTCTTCTTTCTTCCTCACATCTTAAGATTCTTCTTCAGTTAATGCTAATAACAACAAAACCTCAGCTTCAATATCAAAATAACATGTTTTCCTATTAAGAAACGAAAAATAATGACGTGCAGGCCCAAATTCGCCTCAATTTAAGTTAAGGCTAAGTGAGCGAGCGAATCGTGCAATTTAGAGCCCGCGTCCTGCGCGGGACTCGCCTCAGTTTTTTTCGCCTTTAATCGTCATTGTATTGACAATGTATTGACGATCTCAGTACTACAGACTACAGACGTCTCGCACCTTTTGTCTCGGCTCTCTAATTTAAAACTCAACGAATATAACAATTAAAGAACAATGGCCAAATTTCTATAGGAGCTGGACTTATTTTTCATGTCCCAAAACAAGCTATAGCTAGATTGGTTTGTTTTTATGTTGTAAACACCATCCCATATGAAAATCATATCTAAATAGCCACAATTTTTTATAACAACGTCAACAATACTTTTGAGGTTAGCATCACATATGTAATCTTCTTCAGTGATATAAAATAAGAATTAGATTTATATTATGATGTACGATTGTGTGTGATGGCTTATGTTAGTGTAATAAAATAAGTGGGTATGTAAATATGTACTATTATTGAAGAATTCCATAATAGTACATATTTACATATTTACACTCGCGGATCTTAGAAATTACTCTGGTGTCAAGCTCAAAAACGAGATGACGGCGAAGTGTATCAATGCATATGTATCAATTAACACATAGCAATCGCAGGGCTAACTGTTGTTTTTGTGTAGCTGTAGTCTGCATAATTTCTCTCACAAATATGCAATATGCAAAATCGCTGTCCAGAAATCAAAAGCACAGAATAATCGTTACAAGTGGTAGTTATCAGTCCGTAAAACAATGCCGAGGTCAAAACAACAGAAGGAAATCTAAAATAGTACAGTACGTATCACAATCCATAACAACGAGTGAAGCAAATAAGATATATAGATATGTAGATGATTGCCGGGTGACAATCAATGTCGATCGATGACCACAGATTATGTAACTTGACGATAACACATGATGTCCCCTAGTACGTAATTGAACAAAACGCTTAGCTTACTATGAAGCTACATTATCCTTTTTATGACATGAATCCAGTTCATAATAAATCAGTATAGTAGTTGATTTGATGTCTACATACTAATTGAATTAAATTACAATTAACAACTATTCAGAAAAACGTGAATAATTAGTCTTTGAATACAAAGGCCTTTCATACGTGAAATGAATCGTCATTAGGTGCGTTCCGAAAGCATTATTTTAAATAATTTCGGAACAGTTACAAAAACAAAAATAAAAGGATAACTTTTTTGTGGCTACTTAGAGAGGTACATTTTGTGTTTTTTTAAAAACTTAAAAAATAAGAATATTTTTCATAAATATTTCATATAGTGACGCCATCGTTTCATCGTCTGGTACGATTTGGCCAACCTTCTTTACCTAGCAGAAAAACAGTAGTTCTCCAATTACATTAGTTATATACATACATAATATTTCTAATAATAACGAATATAAATTATTCGAGTTCATGACCAGTGTAATTATTATTTCAATTATAATTTTATAAAACTATACATATAATTTTTATCATCTATACGTATAATAAATCTGTAGAAAAGTCGTGTCTATAATCCTAATATATTCTTAAAAAAACAAGTCTAGGGGACTAAATAAAGAGTTATGTATCCAAATTAGTGGTTTTTACAATTTTGGTCTGTCTGTCTTTCTGTCTGTCTGTCTGTCTGTGTATTTTGGATTCACGCAAAAACTACTGAACCGATTTACATGAAATTTTGTATGTATGTAGTCAGTAACCCCGGGCAACTTATAGGCTACTTATTATCCGATTACGGAACTTCAAAAAAGAAGGTTAAGTATTTTATTTCCTTTAGATGTTAATTTTCTATTATATCTTAGTTATATAGGATGACGGGTGTTTTCCAAATATATACCATATTTATAAATAAAGTTTAAAATATAGTTAGTACCTTGGTAAAATAACTTGAAACTACACCACTTTAGTTATCAAAACAGCGCCATCTATCATCAAATGGATAAAGTAGTATATTTTGCCTTCAGTTACTAATAAGTTAATTAAATAATACAAATAACTTACATTATATGATTAAATGATTAGATATTTAAAATTATTAAAAAATTCTAACGTTTAGTGGTTTTAGTATTTTTGTTATTTTATTTTAAAAGTGTAATAATTTCAATAGATAATAGTGAGTCTATCAAAAATATGAAAATTGATAAGGTTTATATTTGAATTACTAATATATATGTAAAGTGATTAAAACTGATGTGTCTGCATTTGTTGCAAAATTTTCATTATCATTTTAGTTTTATTAAAGAGATTTTTATGTATGTCGTGGCCAGATCGTAGAATTGATCATATATCATAAAGTATTCTATCATTTCGTGAAATGGTGTGGACATTTCATGATATTTAACACTCTTTGTTGACCATGTCATGATATATCTTGACCAAATCAATTAATAGAAATAGTTTGAAGATATTAATAACTAAACATAACGTTGCTATTTCATGATATGGTCATAATATGATGATATTATTAAATCGATTTTCACCGCTAGCGGCGCTGATAGCGTATTCTTTAACAGAAACTTATTGATGTAATAAATAAATGTTCGCTTCTATCGCCGATATTAGTATAGATAGTATAGTTTTGGCTTTCATTAGTTCATCTAATAATAGCACCATCTAATTACTTCTAAATAAACTAAAATGGCAAGTCACTGATAATATAATAATATGTCATAATGTCGGCGGGGTCCTCTCGGACTCGGCCAGCGGCACCCGCCGCTGGTGGAGTACGCCGCATGCGTTGGACAAAAAATATGAACATAAACGCATTGCGGGCGTACTATAGGGCGAAAGGGGAAGAAACTGGAGGGATAGCGTATCGGGCTCGGATGCATCGCTTTTTTGCTGAGCTTGAGCCGTCAGTTCCCGTCACGGAGCAAAACCTGGCAGACCGAGTTCGGTACATCATACGCTCGAAAATATTTGATGATGCCGAACTCGAACGACTACGACGTGAGGCTATTCCCTCATCGAATGAACCAGCTATAGCTGGGTATGCGGCTCTTCAGGCCACAGACCAGCAGCCACATATAGAGGGCGCCATGGATCTCCCTGCTCTGGTTGATTCAGGCGATGATGGAATGGTCACCCAAGAACTAGAGCAGATGAGGAGTAAATTGGAGGAGGCGATTGTGAAAACGCGCAGTGCGCGTCTCGAAAATCGACCGCGACTCCCGCGCATACCTCTTAGCAAGCGGAATCGGGCTGTCGTGAGGGCTCTCAACCCAATGCTGGTCACCTATTTGGAAGCCAGCCGGGACCTTTGCGAGACAGACGCAATTCTTT